ATAATAATAATAATAATAATAATAATACTCATGAACCCACCTAGTGTCCACTCCAGAGGGAGTGAGCAGGAAGCAGCGTAGGCAGCTGTAGGTGCGGACTCCACCCTCACTTTCAGAGTTGCTCTCTGGAAGGGGCTTTATGATCTTCACAAAGGATTCTGGGAAAATACCTGTCTGGTTGTTCACAGTTCCCTAAAGAGGAGTAGAAATACATTTTTTTTATTTTACACTTTACTTTGACACTGAATTTTGCCACTTATCTACCAACTGCTGGACAGACCAGCAGGGGGCAGCATGCAAGTCTAGATTCTCACAATCTTCCTTTTTTAAAAAAAAAAAAACTGCCAAAGTACTAGACCTCAGTCACTGCCACTGGAATCTACGCAGGAAAACCTAGAGAATAAATGGCTGTGATTTTTTCTGGCAACAACTTGACATTTTTATCCAAACAGTTCAGTGAATCTGCGTCGACTGAACGCCGCTCAGTTTGAAACATCTGCCCTGTTGTTGCCCCAGTCTTCCCGTTGGACCATCACATTTTTCCCACCCACAGCTACAAACTCACCAACTGTTGTGTTGAACAAACCCCACCCCACCCCACCCCCCCTGGGTAGATGTAACTAAATGTGGCTAAAGAATAGAACGCCGGGGGAAGTAAAAGTGCATCCTCCTCCTCCTGATTCTAATTCTCCCTCTCTCTCCCACCACATCAGCTCCCACCTCATCTCTCTCTCTCTCTCTCACACTCACACTCACCCACTCCTGGCTTCTCTCTCACACTTCCATCTCAACACTTTATTTAAATTTTTTTATTAAACACTTTCTCCCGACCTCTGCGTTTTTTACCACCACCGTTTACGGCAGCAGACGTTTCTGTACTTCTATGTTTTGAGCAGCTAATTAAAACTCGTCCCACATCTCGTTTGTGGACATCGTGGACTCACAGCACACGTGACACCTGCGGTGTTTAATTGGGACACGGAGCTCATTAAGTAAATTGTTCCTGTAATGGAAAGTGGAGCAGGGCGACTGCGATCACACCAGAGGCCGTGGTTGGGATCCCTGAAGCGCTCGGTTTCTATGAACTGTTTGAACAAAGGTTTAAACTGTTCCCAGTTCTGTGTCACAACAACAAGTTCCTGTGACTGTAGTACTTAGTACTGATTACAGCATCAGTACTAATTAATAAATGGAAAAAAAAGCTCATAGGACAATTTACTACAGTACAGGATTTTGTCTTTTTTGTTGCTTTTTTGGGTTAAAAAAACACACAGAAACACATTGATACAAAAGTATAAATGTTGGTAGCGAAAAAAAATTGCCAAAAAAGGAATCGGTGTCTCATCCAATCAAATCATCTCAATGTGGAATCCATTGTGGATTTCACTACACGTCCTAATGATGGTGTCATTTTTATTTCTTTATTGTATGGGGTC